TTTCTTGCCTTGCAAAAAAAGTTCAATTACTGTCTCTATAAAGGCTGCATTCACACAACATGTTTAACTTGGCTGCTGCTTTTAATCCATTTTCTGGATGTGGCTAATCCAATGTCAAATTACCAAACAAGTTGGGTTTCTAAGTCATGCTAAGACAGAACGAAACCTAAACAAATCTTCAATTTTCCATGCTTAACATGAGCAAACAGCCTAAATGCTCCAGGTAGCATATAAGAAACCAGCATATAAGAACCACAGCACTAAAACCAATGTGGCATAAAAACAATAAATACAAAAACTGAAAGCACAAGAAACAAACCAAACATTAAAAAATTTAAATCTTTAGAAGACTATTCCATGATTCCTGGAAGAAGATCGCTCTGCATTCAGGGGATTGTATATTTTTCTATTTTCCTAATTAAGACAAAAAAAATTGCACTGGACTCTTGTGCTTGGTTTTATAAATCACACAATCAAAACACATAATGCCACTGATCGCAGCGGGATTTATTTCCAGGATCCACTGACCATGTTAGTGAGAAAGCCTCATGGAACACAACAGAAAAAAAGAGTATTTTCATTAAGTACTTAGGGATTGGTGACATCCATTCATTTTGAAAGGGAAACGCTCCCTCATAAGCCTTGTCATCTTTTTAGGCCTGAACGTCGGCACGGGAAATCCGGGCATCAATAAATGAACAAATCCTGACGGATGAAAGAAACGCTATACATTCCGCACCGTTTTGATTTTTTTAAAAAAAAAACAGCAAGAACCTTTCTCCTCAGGCGGTGTTTCCACACAGGTACGTTTCTGACGATACACCCAGCTTTCCGGAAGTTGACGTTCGGCTGGAGTTCCGCCCCGGTTCTGCAATCCGCTTTTTCTCACGCGGGGTCGGGCTCGGTTCGGTATCATGGAGGAGGCTGAAATGCAGCTGAAAGTGAAAAAGGGTAACAATGACGGCTACTTCCGGGTTATGTTACACTAAAATAAGTCCGGGGAAGAATAGAGAAAGGGGCGCTTATTCTCTCCCCGCGCCTCTGGGTTGAGATTTGGGTGTTATTGTAGCAAAAGTAAAACTGGTCACAGATCTGGAGTTGGTCTCTGGGATCCATGCGTGGACAATTTCCACCTTTCGGGTGGAATTCCAACCATTTTTATTTTAATATTGAAGAAAATAGCTCTGTTTCAGTATAGAGCAGGCATCTTCTCCCAAGCTAGAAATAGGGACAAGGCGGTTCTGTTGCATTGAATGAGAGATTTCATTTTTATTGTTCTGGTCTGACACTGTGCAGGCGTTCTCACCCAAACTGGGCTGGTTTCAAACAAGCTAACTGCAGTTGCAGCTGGTTAATGGATGGATGGGAGACCACACAGGAATTCCAGAAAAGTAGGCTGACTTGAGAGTACAGAATGGCAATGGCAAGCTAACTGTTGTGTTGTTGCCAAGAAGTTCTTGTCAGAATAAAAATGTAATAAGGGGCCCTTGGTGCTCTCTGAGCTTACTTGTTTTCTTGCAGACATTTCATTATCCCAAACTAGGTAACATCATCAGTCTAGCACTTTTGATATTACCTAGTTTGGGTAAGGAAAAGTCTGCAAGAAAACAAGCAAGCTCAGAGAGCACCCTTATGTCAAACCTGAGCTACAAATATTCTCCTTTATTAAAAATGTAATAATACAGCTTACATGATGCAATGATACCTCTAACACCATCAAAATCAACATCTGCCTATCCCAGGTCCTTGGGAAGGACTTAAATAGATGAATAAAAATACTAAATCTAGTCTACACATCTGGTTGACTGTGCGATGAACCATAACAACTTGAAGTATGAAAGATTCACATCCACCATTACCCTCTTGGATTCTTATTCAGTTTTCCAATTTCATTTCTCTCCTTCTGCCTCAATGTTCATCTATCATTCTGAAGCAGTTGCAGATTTTAGACTGCCATCCTACCCTGACTTTTTTTTCTTGCTTCTGGTTAGTTTTTATACTTACAAATTTTATCCAAGCCTAGACATCCCTTTCTTGCACTGGTGGCCTGAAATCATGACATGTATTATCTGAATGAACCCTTTTTTCCCTCCTGCTGTGGAAGCAAAGCTGTGAGAAAAAAATATGCTTTCTTTTCTTATAGTGACAGACAAATTTACAGAAAGCATGTATGTCCTGGCCAATGAACCTTCTGTTGCGTTGTATCGGCTTCAAGAGCATGTCAGGCGCTCTCTCCCAGAACTGGCTGAACATAAAGTAAGCTGTGATCTGAACTGTAAATGAGAATGGATATAGTGTTATTCTTAGAAAGTCTATAATGTAATAAACCTATTCTGTTACAGACCAGACTTAAAGGCTCAGATTTTTAGCTATTCCTCCATATTTTTTAATTCCTCATAGGCAGAAATGTAATATATTAGGGGAAGGGGAAGGGAAAATGGACATTTTTTCACGATATGTTAATTTTCAGTGTGCAAAGATCAGGCTAATGTAGAGGCAGCTATGAGAGGTGGGTATATTAATGCACATCTGCTAATTGAAGTTTCCAGAGCATTTTCTGTAATGAAGAAGTACTGGTCTTTAAAGCCTGAGGATATATATATATCTCCTTTTATCAGTTTGTGTTTGTTACATTGTTAAGAAGAATGTGGGAGTCAGTAATTAGGCTACTCCTGAAAAATAAATTAAGCCAGATTGAGAAGTAACAAATCATCCTTTCACAATCTATTGGTTAAGTAGTTGTGGATCACTTCAGAATTGTTTGGGGTACAACTGGTTTTCTATATCGACTCTGTCCAGTTTCAAGGCCATGTTTGGGAGAAACTCAAAAATATCTTACCTTAAGCTGCATATTGGGAAGGAGAGAGTGGTGGGATTCAAATATGTGAATAACTGGTTCTCTGTGTGGATGCCACTTCCAGAAGTCCATTCTGGGCCTGGGCAACAAAAAATTAACTACCGGTTCTGCCAAAGTGTGCGAACCAGCTGAATCCCACCACTGGAAGGTGGCGCAGCAGTTAGAGTACAGTACTGCAGGCCACTTTAGCTGACTGTATTCAGCAGGTCAGCGGTTCAAATCTCACCGGCTCAAGGTTGACTCAGCCTTCCATCCTTCCGGGGTAGGTAAAATGAGGACCCAGATTGTTGGGGGCAATGTAAATATACATTGCTTACTGGTGTACACCGCTTAGAGAGTGCTTGCACTTAAAGCGGTATATAAGTCTCATAAATAAATAAATAAATAATTCCCTTCTGGATAATTATATTAGAGAAAGCTCTGTCTTCACGTCTTCTCCTTGACCTCTTGGTTTCCCTTTGCTCTCTTTTGAATCTGTCCTTGTTACTTAACTGCATTGTTAATTCTCTCATTCAGCATTAACTAAACAGTGATGGGAGAAATCATTCTCACATCCTTCAAAGCAATGGGAAAGGAGTTGTGTGAACTAATGTGGAAAATGGATAGTACCTAGATAGGATATGAGAAAAAGTGACTCTTAAAAAAAAAAAGTGAATCCTTTGCTTGACCAAAGCCATCATATCTGCTCTTCGTCCATGCTTTCCATAATGTGGTTCACTTTAAAAGATATACAGGTAGTTTTCAACCATAATTGGGACCAGAATTTCGGTTGCTAATCAAGGTGGTTTTTAAATGAGTCGCACCTGATTTTAATCACCTTTTTCCCCCACAGTTGTTAAACAAATCAGTCCAGCTTCCCCCATTGACTTTGCTTGTTGGAAGCCGACCTGGAAAAGTCGCAAATGGTGACCACATGATTCCGAGGTGTTGCAACCGTTGTAATATGCTGGTTGCCAAGTGTCTGAATTCTGATCACATGATCTTGGGAATGTTGTGAAGGTTGTAAGTGCAACAACTGGTCATAAATCACTCTTTTAGGTGCTGTGGAAACTTTGAGTGGTCTCTAAACAAATAATTGTAAGTCGAGGATTACTTGTAGTGTGAAAAATATATACGCATTCTGTAAAAACCAGAGTCAAAAGCTTAAAGGAAAAGTGAACAAAGGTAAAGCCCCTTTTTTTTCACTTTGCAAGAAGGGTGACAGAAAGTGCTGGAACGTTTTATAGCAATAACAATAGTACTTAGACCAGGGGTAGGCAACCTCGGCTCTTTTATGACTCATGGACTTCAACTCCCAGAATTCCTGAGCCAGTTATGCTGACTCAGGAATTCTGGGAGTTGAAGTCCATGAGTCATAAAAGAGTCGAGGTTACCTACCCCTGACTTAGACTTATACACTGCTCCATAGTGCTTTACAGAAGTTTAACGAGTCAGCCTATTTCCCCCAACAATCTGGGACCTCATTTTACCAACCTCGGAAGGATGGAAGGCCGAGTCAACCTTGAGCTGGTCAGGATCGAACTGCTGGCAGTGGGCAGAATTACCTGCAGTACTGCATTCTGACCACCAGGTCTCTTGTGCTTCTACCTAGCAAAAGATCAGCTGTCCTTTCTCTTTGCAGGCTGACATGCAGAGCTGGGAAGAACAGAGTCAAGGAGCCATTTACACCGTAGAATATGCCTGCAGGTGACTGCCCTTAAAAACTTGTTTTTTACCATTCTAACCCCTGCGATATACTCTTCTCTCTATCCCTGTTCCTGGATTTCTGAGGCTGGGACACTCTGGATCCCCTTTCCCCAACTCTTGTAATTCTAACCAGGTGCTTTCCTTCCTGTCCAGTGCCATCAAGAATATGAAGGACAGTAGCATGTATTTCAAGAACATTGAAGGACTCCTTAGACACGCCATTGCCGTAAAAGATCGGTTGAATTCTGCACGGAGGTAGCTCTGGAGATCCAGGTCTGGGAAAACTTCATGGTCATCCTCTCTATTTATGGAAAGAAGCTTCAGACGCCAAGGGGAAGCCATTCTTCACGTCGATGTGACCAAGACACATTTATATTAACCAGTCTCCAGGTTTAATCATTTTTTTAACATCAATAATTAGTTAATTTAAAAAATTACTCTAAGCAAAGAACATATGTTAGCAATACTTAGTTTCCAAGGAAGAAACACTGCAGGCAAGATTTTTCTTGCTGTGTCATGTGCTTGTACAAGTGCTGGGGTGAGACAGGATTGGCTTCCCAGAGGAAGAGGAGAGGGGAGAGAATACATTTAAGAATCCCATTATATCGAGCCAAACTGTTGGTCCATGTAGCTCATGATTGATGGCAAGCTAATCACACCTCTCCTGAGCCTCAGAGGTGCCAGCTGTATTTGAAAATTCCAGATTTTCAACCCAGGACCTCTTCTACTTGTAAAACGGGTGTTGTGCCTTCTTATTGGCTGCCCATTCTTCTCCCAGTTCTACCTGCTTCATCTTATCCTCTCCTTCCCTTTTCAAGAAATTCCAAGTGACTGTCCTTCTGTTCTCACGGTTAAGCTAGATTTTGTCATCTCCTGCATTTGTCCAAAAAAAGGAAAGCAATCTTAGATTTAAGACGATCCCCTACCCCACCATACACAAGGAAGGCAAGAGAAAGGAAAGCCTTGAATGCTTCCACTGTTTTATCCTTAGCTGTCTTAACAGTCTCAGTTCAGGCAGAATTATTCAGAAAACCTAGTTTTCCTATCAGATAAATACATATAAAGGATTTCGGAACGGTAAAGGGGTTAATTGGTTAATGCAGCCAATCTCCTGGGTTGCAGAGAGCAATATTATCCTACTTTGATCCTGAGCACGCTCAAAGACATTCTGTTTTACACACAACTCTGCTTCGCTGATGTGAATCCAGTGGGCTTCTGGTTCTGTATAAAGGGAGAGTTTGCCAGACCTTATTTATGTCTCTGGTCAGCTATCCAAGGCCTGCATCAATGCCCCCATCCCGTCCTCCATCAGCTTTTCATGGTCTCCAGAGCACCCTCCAATCCCAAGGGGTGAAAATCAGAGATTCCTTTCTTACTCTTTCGAAGTGGGAAACACAACACACAAAAAGTGTAGGAATCCCCGAACTTGGATGAATATAATTAAAAGGGAAAATCCATCCCAAATCTAGGGGGGGAAATACCTTTAATACTCATGACAGCTCCCTGCCCACCCTAGTTCTTATCCTTCCTTCCCCCCCTCCCCAAATAACGAATGCCAACTCTAGCCAAGGAACAAACTTCCATTTAAATCAGGTGATCACTCAGAATTTGGAATTATGGGATAATATTCCTTTTTTCAGCAACCGCACAAGGAATTTGAGCTAAGCTTGATATATGGTCTTTGTTATTTATACTGGATTTTTTTTTTAGTTTTAGGGTTAGGAGGGAAAGGTTTTCAAAATATTCACTGACATTTTACTTTTAGGAATCTTTGCAATAGCTTTGCAGGGTAAATCCAGATGATGCTCTTCAGCCATTATTATGAGGATGGAGAGATATGAATTTTCTCTCTTGTACTGAAATGGAAAATTCTGTTGAAATTCCGAGTGTCATTTGCGTATGCCAGCCCATGTTTCTCCTTGTACATGCCTACATTTCATTTCTGGCTTATATGAACGTATGGTAATGGTTCTAACTAAATCACTAAAAAGCGTGTCATTCATGACTTGAAGTGAGGTCTTGTTACGGATTTTGGCTCTTGCGAACCCTAATCACTATCGCTTTCTGGATGGCATACAAACTGTGGATGTTGGATTCACAAACTTGATCTGATGTTGCTGTTCCGGTCTTCACTGTAATCAGAAAGTCTACCTACCCTTCAATTCAGTATAGATAGTCCTCAAGTTCAAAGCTACAATGGGCTCCCCAAAACTATTTGTAACTCAGTTTTGAAATTATGGCCGCCTCACACCCGTACACCCCTGCGGTGATGTGATCGTATTCTGTACACTTGGCAACCCGCTCACTTTTACAGCTCTTTGCAGTGTCCCATGGTCATGTGACCATGGTTTTTTATTTTTTCAAATTTTGCTGATTTCCAGTACTTCCAGTTTCTGGCCCCCAAAAAAAGACCGTTGGGTAAAATGGATTCACTTAACACCACCACTACAAAAAGGTTGAAAAATCGGGTCTGGCCATGTGATGCCTCAATGTATAACTATAATTCTGGGCTCAGTTACGGTCATAAGTCAAGGATGACCTATATAACAGTGGTCTCCAACCTTTACAGTTCGATGGACTGGTGGAAGCAGCGGGGGGGGGGGAGAGAATATGGTTTCATGTGTGCCACTTTCAAAAATGCAGCCTCATGCATACACATTCACCTATCACTTCCGTGGCCCGGTTCCGAACAGGCTGTAGCCCAGTTCCAAGTCACGGACAGGGGTTGGGGAACCCTGACCTATACAACCAATCTTCCTTTACTAGTGTGAGTCCAGACAAATTGCCTCTTTATGGTAGCACCTAAGAACAATTTAAATGTAGTACCGTATCTAATAATGGATGGCATCTAATATTAGTAGAACAAAATTGGAGGTAATAGGATCATTAAAGGAAGCCTCCATGTTCAGTAGCAGTCTTTCTTGATGCTGGTTTGCAGCATGCATTAGGGCAGGGGTCTTCAAACTTGGCCCTTTTATGACTTGTGGACCAACTCCCAGAATTCCTCAGCCAGCATGCATTAGGGCAGGGGTAGGCAACCTTGGCTCTTTTATGACTCGTGGACTTCAACTCCCAGAATTCCTGAGCCAGCCATGCTGAGGGGAAAGGGAGAGGTTTCCAAGCTGAGCCATGCTGGCTGAGGAATTCTGGGAGTTGAAGTCCACAAGTCATAAAAGAACCAAGGTTGCCTACCCCTTGTCTATGTAGACATCCTCACACAATCTGTAATATGTGGATTTTTCTAATTGCTGAGAGTAAGGGAGGTGACGTCAAAAATGTTTCTTTAAGCCCTGGGTATCAAGATAATATTTGGAAATGGCTCAGACAATCACCTCCCTGATCCAAGGAGGGGAAATACAGGTAGTCCTCAACTTACAACCATAATGGAGCTCAAAATATCTGTTGCTAAGTGAGACATTTGTAAAGTGAGCTTTGACCCATTTTATGATCTTTCTTGCCACGGTTATTAAGTGAAGCACTGCAGTTCTTCAGTGAGTCATAGGGTTGTTAAGTGAATCGGGCTTCCCCATTGACCTTGCTCGTCAGAAGGTCACCAAAGTCATCGCATGACCCCGGGACACTGCAACCGTCATAACTGAGAGTCAATTGCCGAGCATCTGAATTTTGATCAAGTGATCATGGGGATGCTGCAACGGTCGTAAGTATGAAAAATGGTCCTGACTCACTTTTTCCAGTGCAGTTGTAACTTTGGTCACTAAATGAACTGTTGTAAGTCGAGGACTATTTGCACAGCAAAATCAGGCTTGCAACATTTTGTTGTTATAGCCCAGGGATAGGCAACCTTGGCTCTTTTATGACTCGTGGACTTCAACTCCCAGAATTTCCTGAGCCAGCATAGCTCAGCATGGAAACCTCTCCCTTTCCCCTCAGCATGGCTGGCTCAGGAATTCTGGGAGTTGAAGTCCACGAGTCATAAAAGGGCCAAGGTTGCCTACCCCTGTTATAGCCTGTCTCAATAAAGTGGAGTTCTGGTCCTCCTGTGAAGTTCCATCTAGTGGGGCTGTGGACTGGGACAATTCGCCATAGCCAGCTTGCTGCAGGACAACTCGCCGCAAGACAACTGAACAATTCAATTTAATTATTTAAAATAAATACAAAAATATTTTCATTTCTGCCATTCGTATTTTGTTGGGTACCTCCTTTTTGCATCCGTTCTTTAATTATTCTGTTCCGCTATTCCTTTGATATTAGTGTAAAACTCTTGTCCTGCAGCAAGTTGGCGATGGTGAGTTGTCCCGCGGTGTGAGTTGGCTGTGGCAAGTTGGCCATGGCGAATTGTCATAAAACCATGGGGCTGATCCTAATTTCCTTTTAAAGGAATCTAAATAAGGTTGTTCCCCACTGTCTTATGAGTGAACGAGAGAGCGTGTGAAGCAATCAAGCAATATGGTTAAGTGTTCCTTCCAACAAAGGTCGTCTGGAGATTGAAGATTTCTGTGGGGATCGGGATCGCCACGCTTTCTGAGATTTCACACCAAGTGTCAGAATCCAATTATATTTCATCTCTAGTTATCAACTATAGAAAACCCCATTTCTGCCTTCTCTGGATTCTGTCATACGATGAAGGGAAGGGGGTGAACAAAGGGGCTTTATGGCCCTCACTTCCTTTGGTACACTTCAAAGGGACTGAATGTGGATATCACCAAAAGGACTAACCATAACAATGGGGCTATTACCTTTCATGTACTCCCCTCTGAAGTCTCCATCCAGCCGGTAGTAAGGAAAAGGGGGTGTGAGTGTAATGCCTAAGACTGTCGCTGGAAAAAGGGGGTGATTAGGTGGGCTACTGGGGAACCCCTTAAAACCTTGAATGGGAGAGCTTGGACCCCAAGTCCTGTCTAGAACGCCTGCAACCATTTTCTCTTAATAAAGGATGCCTGTTGGAAGAACTATTCCAAGAGTTCTGTCTTCTTAAAGATGCAAAGTGGGGTGGGTCCTTACACCAAGGTTGAACCTTTGCCTGATCCCTTCGGTTTGCGAGATAGGACTTTCCTCATTTCCTGCCTCACCCCGTGGCTCAGCAGAAGGCCGGACTCTGCCGAAAGTGTCTGGTGCATTCTGGGGATGCTACAGCCCTCTTTCTCCAGGGTTGGTACAACACTGTCCACGGAGGTGACATTGGTGCTGCTCGCTGGGATGGTCTGGTGGGACTTCTGCTCCACGTAGGACAGGTACGAAACCTCTGGGTGGATTTCCAGATGTGACCGTGAAGAAGCCACCTTTGGAGCATCACTAGGATGAACGGCTGGTGTTTCGCCGCTCTGGGCTGAGCCGTTCTCGTAAAGATTGTGTGACAATTCTCCTGGGCTATGTTGCGTGGCTTTGGAAGCCCGGACGAGCACGTGGATCACCGTAATGATCAAGACGATGATCCCAGAGGAGAAGATACAAACACAGGTAATTCCCGTTTCTCTCTCAAATGCCATCATCACGTAGATCGAGAGGGCTGGAGAGCAGAAGAGAGGGGAAATGAAATTTTTAACAAGGACCAAAGCTTAAAGCAGCCTACAAAAGAATTGGGTTCTCCCAGAACAGGGGTAGGCAACCTTGGCTCTTTTATGACTCGTGGACTTCAACTCCCAGAATTCCTGAGCCAGCCATGCTGAGGGGAAATGGAGAGGTTTCCAAGCTGAGCCATGCTGGCTCAAGAATTCTGGGAGTTGAAGTCCACGAGTCATAAAAGAGACAAGGTTGCCTACTCCTGTCCCAGAACGATCAACCAAGTTTGTAACCCATGTGTTCAAAATGCTAAGAATTGGATTCCCTCAACACACTGACTCACAATTCTCCCAGCAATTAGCATACTGAAGAAGGCTTGGCCTACACAGGTAGTCCTCAACTTATAACGGTTCATTAAGTGCCGTTCAAGTTACAACAGCATTGAAAAAAGTGACTTATGACCATTTTTCTCACGACCACTGCAGCGTCCTCGTGGTCACATGATCAGAATTCGGACACTTGGCAACTGGTTCATATTTATGATGGCTGCAGTGTCCTAGGATCAGCTTTTGTGACCTGACAAATGGGGAAGACACTTAATTCACTTAACAACCATGTTACTAACTTAACAACTATAGCAATTCACTTAACAGCTGTGGCAAGAAAGTTCATAAAATGGGGCAAAACTCATTTAACAAAGGTTTCACTTAGCAACATCACTTTTGGACTGAACTGTGGTCGTACGTCAAGGACTGCCTGTATGCTTCCTTGCAATTTATATATTTTAAATTAAACCACCCAATAGCCAGACGTCTCTGTGCAGTTTATAATAAAATAAGCTCTAAAAAATACAATTTGAATGAAAACATAGACCCATGGTGGCGAACCTATGGCACAGGTGGCACGCAGAGTCCTCTCTTTGGGCACACGCTCCATCGCCCCAGTCCTAGACCTTCAGCTGGGTTTTATAAAACCTTTTTGCTTTAGGCTGCCGTGTGCAAAAAAAAAAAAAAAAAAGGTTCAATCCATCAATCAATTTCAACTTCTTGTGGGAGAAAAAAAGATCTCGCAAAGTTGGAACTGATTGATTGAACTTTTTAGTCCCACCCAGTCTGCCGTTACCACTGCAGCCACGCCCACCCAATGGGCCAGGTCCACCCAATGGGCCACACCCACCCAATGGGCCATGCCCACCTGGCACCCGACGATACATAAGTGGGTTTTGGATTGCAGTTTGGGCACTTGGTCTCTAAAAGGTTCGCCATCACTGACATAGACCATAGATAAATACAAAATAAAATAGAATTGGATGCCTTTGTAACTTCTCTCCATGCCTTTCCTTTGTGCCTAACTTGTTTTTAAAGCATGGTTCTCAATACTCCAGAAGTTATGTGGATGGGAAATTTTATTTCCTTACACCAAACATAATTTTCAGACCAGTTTTTGAACATTTCTTCTAGGAAAGGACAAGCAAGGGAAACCAGAAAGGGAAGGGAGAAACTACTCACCTGCTAGGTAGGCTAAAACAGCGCAGCAAAACACACCCACAGC